CGTGCCATTTTGACACCCACTAATGAAGATTCATTAGCAATAAATGAAGAAGTTTTGGACCATTTACCAGGCGATGTAAAAGTTTATTTAAGTGCAGATACTATTGAAAAGATGATCTTAACGAAATCAACAATTTTCCTGTTGAGTTTTTAAACAGTCTTACTCCATCGGGAATGCCTGTTCATTGCCTAAAACTAAAAATTGGTGCTGTTATAATGTTATTTCGAAATTTAGATATTAAAGCTGGACTTTGCAATGGTACCCGATTGATGGTGCGTGCTCTACAAAATAATTACATTGATGGGCAAGTTCTAACAGGTGTTTCAGTTGGCAAGAGGGTATTTGAGTTTAGTTAACACAATCTGATTCAAATTTACCTTTTACTTTTAAACGTCGTCAATTTCCTGTAAGATTGTGTTATTTTCTATATGTTAATATATATGTGTTTTATAAAGTAAAAGATTTATGTTTTTTTAAATGTTTATGTATGTTTTTATAAGTGTGTGCAGTTAGTAGTTTAAATATGTTCAATAAACTCAGGATAACTCAACCCTCAACAATATAAACTAATTTTAAAATTCCACTTAAGCTTTTTTTTATATATTATACTTCCAATAACTCTAATTTTCTTTAAACTAAACTAACTTCTTTGTCCTTTAAAGGTCTGGGTTATCTAGAGTTTACTTTAACATGTTCTGTTGTTTAATTAATTGTTGTGATGTTTTATGCTAATAGGCTTAGCTCATATTCATATTGATCTGTCAGGGTTATGGAAAAATATAAAAGTAAGTTTTTTATCCACTTATTTGCATTTTTGAGTTTTTATGTTTAAAATAATTTTGTTCAATTTTTAGATCGAGTTCCTTTTTTTATGGCTGACTTGATTATGACTTACCTAAAGCCTAATAATTATGAAACAATGTTTTAATTTAAATTGTTTTTTAAGTATTTTTGTTACTTTTAGTTAAATATATTTTTTTGTAATTTTTTTTAAAGTTTATATTTTTATTTTATCTCAAGAAAAATGTTTTTTGTTTCTTAAGTATATCTCTATACTTTTTTATTTTTGGATTTATTGTTTTAAATGGATATATTGATCATTTTTGCATTGTTTTTTTATTTTTGTAGCTTTTTTATTTATATGAATAGAAACCATTTATACTTAAAATCGTATTTTGTACTCGAAGTTTCCATTTGCATTAAGTATCAATTAGCACAAACAACATGTTTAATAACTTCGGATGTAAAAACAGCTTAATTGAATGAATTAGTTAACAGTTTTGTTTTTTACAGTAACGTTTTTATAAAAGGTATCAAACGGATAAAGCTAACTTATTTAAAATAAGTAAGTTCTCTTAGGCCCATTTTCTGATGTCCAAATTTATTTTTTAAATAAATCTTGATGAGACGGTAAAATCTTGATTATAGCTTAAGTTTTCAAAAACACCTGAAGAATTGTTACGCAACTGTCTCTATGTCTTTTATGTATAAAATATTGGAGTACATTAAGTAAATAAGCACAGTTTCTAAAGTATATTAAGTCAATTGTTTACCAATAACTTCAAATCAACTTATTTTTTGCTGTTTACTTGAGGTATAGAGACCTAACTAAGAACAAGTTTGGAAATAAGATGTGGAATAGAGTTGCCGCGACCCATATCGTACGGGTCATCACAGCTAATTCCGCAATTAAAACAGTATAATTGTTAATATATTTCGACAATATAAATTTTTTATAATTATATAAATAAGTTGAGTTTTTTTACAGAAACCCAGTGGGCACCGGACCTAAAAAAGACGTGTACAAGACATTTTAAATGTCTTTTTTACGTCCGTGCCTACTGGGAAGGCTTTTATATAATATATCAAACAGATAAAGCTAACTTATTTGAAATAACTAGGTCTCTTGGGTCCATTTTTAATGTCCAAATTTGAACTAAAATATTATCATAGCCTAAGTTTCACGCAACTGTGTTAAATGCTAAAGATACTTTTATTATGTAGAAAATATTAAAGTAAATATGTAATAATGTAATAAGTAAAAATACTAATTAGTTAGAACAGTAAATTAAAAATCAAGAACTGTAGGTAGTCAGTAAAATGCAAACTGTGTACTTTTTAGCGAACCAAAATATTTTAATGACCACAACAGTCATGATATTAAAAACAATTCCTCATAGATTTTTTAAATTAAATATATTGGTATTTGATATATTTTATTTAAATTAGACTTTTCTTTTAAATTAATTATAATTTAACGAGCAATTAAAGTTTGATTTAATTTTCTTAAGCTTCATGTGCCTTACTGGCAACAGTCTGGTTCAGATAGGTCTTCAGATTTGACTAAAATTCAATGTCATTGAGAGGAGCTCTGACTCCAAGTGGTGCTTCGTTCCACTGTTTGATATAAACAAGACTGACAAACAGAGCCAAATCTGTGATATTCTTTGATTCACGAGCAGTCAACTTGAACTGAGTCTTAAAAAGAAAGATTTTGAGTGCATAAATAGCTTTTGCCATCCATCGCGCATGATGTGTTGGACCAGGAGCTTGAAGTTTGTCACTGTCTTTTTGTCCACCGAGAAACCAGAAGGATAAATGTAAAAATTCCTAATAATCGTCCTTGGCTGCTGTGTTTCAAGAGTACTTGGTAAATAGACAAACATTTCCTGTCGCATCCATTGTTTCTGAAATCTTTTGAATAGTGCAGTTGATGGACCTTCAGATGGACCAAACAGAGATGTGAAAATATTTGAAAGGACAACTTCCATAACATGATGAGGGTATGCAATCCAGACTATATCAGTTCCCAGAGCTTCTTCAATTCTAACACATGCACCATTATGAAGTCCTGTATTGCTAGATGTTGTGTCGAATACAAGGCCTTTGATCTATGAACACAGATCCTCTATTTATTTTTGGAATAGATAACAGTTTTTCTTGGCCATTCCCAGTAACAAAAACAGCTATCCGATCCACATTTTCCGATGTGTTATGCAGCAATAGTGGTCTTGTCAAAAAAAATTCTTTTTCATCCATTGCAGCAGATCATTGTCTTTCATTTATTCTGAATTGTCTGATTGAACTTCGAGATAATGTTATTTCTGAAATGTTATGGCCCAGTGCCTGTGCAACAGCTCCGGCAACAAACACAGCTCCATGGTCTGGGAGGCAAACACGATCCAAAGCACCTACAACTTCAGGGGACAGGAAGATATTCTTAAATTTCTTTTAAGATTATGAAGAACAAAACTGTTGATTCTGTTAATTTTGATGTTGCAGGTGTACATGGCTGAGTTTCAGTTGGCTGATACTCCTTATCTTCTTCTGACTCCAAACTAGATGCCAACGACGAAAGTTCACCTTCTGTTTCATTAATGACCTTAGTCATGCGTTCTTCGTATCTCATTTTCACCTTTCTCTCTTTTTCCTCTCGTTGCCTTTTCCTGCTTTCTTTTGCTGCTGTTTTTACATCGACTTCACTCATGCTACAAGAAAAAACATCTCTTTGCATGAGAAGGAAATCCCGATCTTTTTCGCTTTTATTTCTGTTATCATGTTCATTGTTGCAACATCAAACAATTCTTGAAGGTCACCTTTAAAGATGTCTTCTTTCATCCTGTCGCTTTCTCGTTCTTGTGTTTGGTGTGTCTTCAGAGCCAGATAGTTCTGACGCAGCTTTGATAGTTTTCTGACACAAGTCAATACGCTGTGTTGGTATCCTGACTCGCATCCATATACAAATAACTGCATCACAAGACATTTTATAACTTTCCGGAAGGGTTCATCCTTCAGTTAAATGATGAAACTGGAACAGTTAAAATACATCCAGCATACGTGGTAACCTTGCTGTAGATAACTGAGGAATTGGCTTTCCAATTAGCCAGTGCTCTGGGTCAGATCTTAAACCGGATGAAGCCAATTTATAGTTTAGTTTATTATTTAAAGAGTTCAATGTCAATTCAATATTAATTTGGTAACACCTTCAAAATAAAAAACATTCATGTTAGAATTCAGTACACAAGTATGTAAGTAAATTAATTTATAAGTCATCACAGTTGGATGGAAATCGCAAGCCCAAATGCCCAACAAGTATTGTTGATAATGGGTTGACCTTTAAATGTTGCTCAATCAGCCTGAAATGTTGCTGGCCAAATACCTATACCCAATGGACAAAACCAAACCAAGTGGAGCAATGATTCTACAAATTAAACTTTTCAGTATGGTTTTGTGGACCACCCTAATATATATATATATATATATATATATATATATATATATATATATATATATATATATATATATATATATATATATATATATATATATATATATATATATATATATATATATATATATATATATATATAATATATATATATACATACATACATATATACATATATACATACATATATATATATATATATATATATATATATAAATATAAACATATATATATATATATATTATATATATATATATATATATATATATATATATATATATATATATATATATATATATATATATATATATATATATATATATATATATATATATATATATATATATATTGATATTATTATATGCTGAGTTTAATAGTTTTTATTTGAAGTTTTACAAGCATTTTTTTGTCGTGACGACCATAACTGTGACAGTTGTAACAAAAAATCCAATATTAATATCAAAAAACAACAAATAAACTAAACCAATCAATAATGTAAGAAAAAAAGTATAAATGATTATTTAAAACAATGTAAATTATGTTAAAAAATTGCACTATAACAATATCAAAGTTTTCAATTATGTTTTTACAATATGATTTTAACGCTACACAACAGGACTGAAAATAAATGCCAAAACACATTTTTACAACCCTTACACCTTTAAAACCATGTTATGATATGATAAAATGATTTTTTTAAATAACCTTTTTTGCTTAAAAGTATTTGTAAATTGTTAAAAAAAGTTTAATATTCTAAAATTATAATTCTTACTCATCATTTATATTATCTTTTATTAGTCGATTTAATTTTCTCTTCTCTCTATTGCTATACTCTGGTCTAAAACCCAAAAGATCTTTTGTTGAAGGTCCAGGATTGTAAAACACAAGTTGTGCAATCTCACGACTTAATTTTTCCTAAAAAATATGTTTTAAAAATATTTCCTGTGTTTTATATTGTACATTTATAAGAAATATAATTAATATTAAAAATTTCTTAATAATATTTTTAACACTTTTTAAATCTATTAAAAGAGAATAAGTGAAAAAAAGACGATTGATTGACAATAGTTGATACTTTTAAATCTCTGAACAAGAAAATTAATTATATTTTCTTAAATAAACATAGAAATTAAATAAAAACTTACAATTTTCCCTTATCCCCTATAACAATTTTTTTGTATTGAGACTTTACACTTTATGTTACCTACATAAACACATACATTTATGTTACCTACATAACATAAAATGTAACAAATGTTCCTTGTTTTTTTGTAATTAACACATAACATTTTTATGTAACTATTAAGTATCAAATTTCATTTTTTATACATAACCATACACAAGACATTTTTATAATGTGAGATTTAACAATGTAACGTGTGGAAATGCATGGTAATAGATAGATTTATTTTTTTTTAAATTTATATATTATTTTTCTATACTACATATTTAAGAAAACTGTTTTGAAATAAAAATACATAGCTCAAATACATTAGCTCAAAACTAAAAATAATAATCAAATTTATTTAAAAAACAATAGAATTTGAAAATATTCTATGAAAGCTTGAAGGTGATCAACAAGGTAAAAATAAAATAATTGTTTATAAATGTATAAAAAAAGGGACAACTAAATAAGTGTGAATTTCATAAGTGTGAACTTATGAAATTCTTGTACCAGACAAGTGGGAAAAACTTGTACCAGACAAGTGGGAATGGTGTAAGTGCGAATGGTATAAGGGCGCACTTGCAAAAGTGTGAAATGACATATGTGCAAATTGGCATAAGTGTGCCAAAAGAATTTACAAATATTGGCATAATTGCAAACTGGCAAAAGTGCAAAGCAGTTGCAAAAACTGGCAAGTGTGACCTGGCACAAATGCGAAACAGTTACAAAAACTAGCATAAGTCCAAATTGGCTTACGTGAGATTTGCACTTATTCCAATTTTACTGGCATAACTGCTTTGCACTTATGCCAGTTTGCAAATACGCCAATGTTTGAAAATTCTTTTGGTGCACTTATGCCAATTTGCACATATGCCAGTTTTTGCAATGCTTTACACTTGGGCCAGTTTGCACTATGAGATCAGAAAGGTATAAGATAGCAAACAGTGTTAAAAAATGATAGCCCACACTATGGGGATCACTTAGATATAAGTATCAAAATCAGATTACAACATCCCAGTAAACACAAAACGTGTTATAAATATTTCATAAATGTATTAATACATTTTAAAACGTAGTATAGACATATTAAACACATCATGTGTTTACTGGGATATTTTATTGATTGTACAAGCATGCAAAATGACAGGTTATTATGCATTTCTACAGCCCTAAATTATGATTATTTTGGAAAAATCTGTTTAAATTGATATGAAATGTATTTAATTATGGAATAAATTATTTTTTTTTAAATTTCTACTTTTGAATTCTGGGAAAATGCACATCGTTTTTACTTTAACAATCAGAGCTAAACTGTGCACATCTAATTTTACTGACAATGCCGAATACTGCTAAGAACCATTAAGAATGCAGGAAAACTGTTTTTTTTTTCAGTAAATGTCAATGAGAGGTAACATCAACTCTAAAAGAAAGAAGTCAAATTATACTGAAAGTGAAAATCGACTTTAATCATGAAAAAAGTCCCACTTGGAATTTGTGAAAAATGTCTCTCTTGTTTGAGAATGGAGTGAAGAGGGATCACACTCTCATCATTCATTAAGTTTGAGACTATAAAACTTTGACCAGAAACTCGAGACTCACTGTGATTGTTTGATCTGTTTTTAATCAGAAAAATGAGAAAGAATGATTAAATGAAAATTGAGTTTGCACTAAGTTCAAAAGTAGAAAAAAGATGCTCAGATTGTTTTTCAATTATTTGCAAAGACCTCACTCTGAGGATTGCCTCACAACTGAGCAATGAACTTAATGAGCCATCTACCCTTCGCTTTCTAGAATTAACTCTAACTTCCAATCTTTCTTGGAAACCATCTATCAAATTGATTGCAAAACTAGCTTCTGCTAAGGTTGTATCTCTTTATCATGCTCATCACTTTCTTACTTCGGATTCTATTCTTTATCTCTATAAATCTGAAATCTGTCCTTGTATTGAATACTGATGATATATCTAGAACGGATCTTTGAATTATCTTATAGATAAGGTACAAAAAAGCATTGTAAACATAGACCTGCTTTTGACACTTTGAGAAATAATCTTGTTGTTGTTGTAACAAAGGATCCTTTGCCATCAGAAAGAGTTGCAGCTCTTATTGTTTCAAAAAAAGCTCCTTCTTTATATGGAAAAGTTTGATGAAGTTAACCTTATGAAGGAAGAATGCCTCCAGTAACACAAGGTATGAATATAGTTTTTTATAGTTCAAATTAATGACAAATTAATGACAGGTTAAACTTTTAACATTTTGCAATTGTTAGATTCGTCATCAGCTAGAAAACTTCCAAATTTATCAATAAGTGTAAAAAACCTTGCTCAAGTTCAAGCAAACACAGGGCTTTCAAACAACGACATCAAGCAGTTACTATTAATCAGTCAACCTCACAACAGAGAAAAATTATGCCATAAAATTTGAAGAACTCAGCAAGCAGCTTCTACATCATTTCGCAAAATCATTAATTCAAAATCATGCTGGATGTATGAGGACTGTCATACATTGCAAGGAGCTCCATGAGCTTAAAAATGAAATTACAGCCATTAGAAATACGTTAAAAAATCACATTGTTAAGGTTGGAGGTGGTGAGTTCCTAAAAGTTAGCCTGGGATCATACTAAAATTTTGCAAGTATTTGAGTAGATTAATTTGGACTACCAGCAATTTGTCCTGTCCTGTAATCCAAAACTTGCACCTATTTTGAATCTGGTTCAAAGGAACTTGTAAATCAAGAGAAATTGAGGACTTTTGAATCTCTGGAAGAAAATATCTCACTCTTTAAGTTAACAGGTTTCAATATCAAAAAAGCTTGTGATTACAAAAATGTTGTTTATTCTTCAATATTTAAACAACTTGGAGACAATATGGTTCAGAAGTTCCATCCTCCCATGGAATTGCATCTCCTTATTGGAGTTTTTAATCATCTTTTTGCATTTAATCAACAGACATGGCCAATGGCTTGGGCTATACTCAGAAAAAAACAACAGAAAAAATGCATCACAACTTTCAGATATATTGGCAAAAACAATTTTATATAACTCGAAGAATATATCATTTTGCTTTCCTTGTTTATATTAGTGTAAATTGGAGATTTTTACTACTGTAAAAAGCAAAATAAGCAATCAATAAAATATCCCCGTAAATACAACACGTGTTTACTATGCCTATAATACGTTTTAATGCATATTGATATGTATTAATATGTTTATTAAACGTTTAAAACCTGTTTTGTGTTTGATGGAATGAAAATTAAAATGTAAATAACTTGCCAGGACCTTGTAATCTGATCTTGATACTTATATTTAAGTAATCGTAATAGTGTGAGCTATCATTCTACTAAAGGGTTTTCCCAGGTTAGAAAGTTATGGTTAGAACCTGTTTTATAACACTGTGAGCACTTATGTGTACATGAAGTGTATAAAATACATAGAGTACAAAGTTGCACATGTTTTAATTTACTAATAAAACACAAGTAAAATTATTCAGAATCATGAATGTTTATATTTATGATTTTGAATAGCTCAGAATTCTAATAAATGACTAATAATATTTAGTGCATCACTCAAATTTGTAATTTACTTAAGTAAATTCCACTACTTAACTCTAAAGCTTTGCATTTTATATCAGAACCATTTTCCATTCAGTATTTTTTACTTATTTACTTATATATATAAGTAAATAAATTATCTACTTCTATACTTATGGAACATGCAATAAAATGTTTTTAATATAAAAATAATGCATGCAACAAACATATAATGTATGTAGCATACCAAAATTGAGGTAAATGGTAATGTAATATGACAAACCAATAATGACAAACAAAGTTTGTTTAAAAAAAGTTCAAACTATTAGACAGGTAACTTAAGTTAAAACAATTAAAACATTAAAACATTTATTTTTTGGTACAGCAACATATTTCTAAAAATGCTAGTCTTAAAAAAATAATAAATAGCTTATAAAATTTTAAAAATCTCACAAATATTTAACAACATTTTAAAACTTGAAAAACAAAAACAATATTAAATATAATAAAAGCTAGGAATTAATTTATCAAACAATGAATACATAAAATTAAAAGAAAATTAATTTTAACAATTCCTATTTCCTAAATAATTTGAATTTGAAATCTTCATCAAACTTCATAGCCATTTTCTTAAAGCGGAGGAGCTTTTTCTCAGTATTTGAAAAGTATTTGTTAACAATTTAATAGCGTATTTATTAACAAACATTAATAATAACTTTGGTGGCTGGTGATGATATAAACAAGTTATTTTTGCTACCAAGTTATATTCAAGAGTTTTAAAATTTTACATTTTTTCTTTGAAATATTTGATAATAAAGGCATTTTTTTCAATTAAAAAATCATTTCTTTATGCAAGCCGTTAACAACAAAACAAAAACAAAAGAAAATATTTAGTGGTTAACGACAAAACAAAAAACAAAAGAAAATATTACTTGTGATGCTGGTGTGCACAAACGCTAAAGCACAGGCTATAAGGCAGACATTTGCTCATGTGTAAACTGTTTGTGTTTAAATTGCTTGTTTATATATTGTTTTTATAGAAACTCTATTTTTTTAACTACAAACTACTGTTTAAATTGAGAGTTAACAGAAAACAAAAAAGATGGCTTAAGAACAAGAAAGGAGTTGACAGAAAAAAAAAACTGCTTACTTTTTGAGTCAGAACAACATGAAGATGGGAAAGAGTTCAAAGGCACCCATGTTCAAAGAAAATAACTAGAATA